GAACTCACATTCAATTCCTCTAACACATAAGTCAACGTCCGGTTGACTTTTCCAACTTAAGTTTCCTCAAAAGAGACTAAGTGTCTCAAACCTTACCAAAATTATTTCGGATTCGATCCGACGAACCACATACCACAAAATACGGATAAACAAAGCATAAAGAAGCAGAAAGGGAGAAAATGGAGCGGTAACTCATGAGACGACTGGCCGGGTCGTCACGATAATCGACCGTTTCATAACCTTGAATTGAGGTGTGACTTGGATGAGATCAATTAGCAGCTGCTGGAAAAGAAGTAGAATGGCCGAGGAATATGTTACTTGATATAAAGTTATGGCCACAACCTATGCCAACCATTTCCATGTTCTGTGATAGTGAGACTACAATGTGTGTTGCTCACAATAAAATGTACAATGGGAAATCGAGACATATAAGATTGAGACATGCTTATATAAGAGAATTAATTACAATTGGAGTTATAGCTATAATATATGTGAGATCAAATAAGAATTTGGCTGATCCACTTACGAAGCCATTGGGTAGAGATGTAGTACAACAAACTTGTGAAAGGATGGGGTTGAGACCCTTTAAATTAAATACAAGTAATGAAATCCCACTTTGAGTTAGTATACACTTTAATAATATAAGTTCAATGGGTAATAACAAGTTACTTGTATTGTTTAAGCATTGATCTCCTCTTTAGGAGCCCTAATTCTATTGTATTACTTACTGTTATGTAAGGAGTTAAGGAGTTGTTAAATTCTTGTTATAACAGAGGCATAAAGACAAACTCCAAAGTGCATACTGTTACATGAAAAGGTTGATTAATCTTAATGGAATTATTAATGTCTGGAGTAATAGGGATATAGTACCTAATTCCACCTATATGAATATTGAAGTTGTGCCGCTTCTGGCAAGATTTAAAGGGTTGATCTTGTAAATATTCATGAATTCATGATGAGCACATGGCCGTAAACGTGCTAAAGCGAATACTGAATTTTCTAAGCTAATAAATAACGTTGTGTGTGTGTTATTTTCGATTTTAGCACAATGAGTTGTAGTTCAAATCCTAAGATACCAATAACTTCATCAAAACTTTAAAGCACTTACACTAACGAAAAGTTCAAATTTATATAAGATACTATCTATTATTCACAAGTGTTATAAAGTGAAATAACAAATTAGTAGGGGATTGTAAGATAGTTTGTTATTTTAGAGTTGGGAAGTGGGATTGTTCCCACATTGGAAGAGAGAAGGTTATTTTGGAGCCTTTTATGCACTTGTCTCTTTCATGTCTTTGATTTAGGACACATACTTTTAAGTGTGTACAATTAAGTACACGATATATTTATACATCATATAATCAAAGACTTGGACTTGGGGCTTGGGCGCGTGCCGGGTCGGATCCTTAAGTTAATTATTTTATTTTGTGACAGAAAAATTAATTTATTTGAATTTTAAATTCAAAATTCAAATAAACAGTTATGTCTGTTATGAAAGGATCTGTCCAGATATGTCTGTTTGTGAAACAAGACATCTTTTCTTAAAGGGTCTGTTGGTTGCCTATAAATACACAAGAATTTCCAGTGAAGTGGTATAGAAAATCACAAGTATTATTGCAGGTTTTGTTGTATCATGAAGAGAATCGTTTTGATTTTCCCTAAATTAGTATATAGGCGATAACTCTTTAAGGACAGTAGATTTTCACACCTCAAAGCCATTTTATTTGTTATTTTTTAACACCGGTGATCCAAAAGCATAAAATAAATGTTACTCCACGATAGTAAGAGTGGAGCCTCACCAAAAATATCAATTGGAAATGTGGAGCTGTCCTATCCACGAGGCTCGCACTGCTTAGGACCGGTGCCTGAAAACAGAAATGAAAATTTGGTCAAAGGGCCTAATCTCCACACTAGTATGAATTATGAACCGCTCAAAGAGTGGGACAAGATAGGAAAAGAAGATTAAGAGATATGCAAAGCGTTGATATGACAAGGGAGCATTTATATCAATTCATAATTTAAACAAGAAGATGAAATAATAATGTAAAACGTAGTTCAAAGTCATTTCATTTAGCCTTTAAGTTCAACTAAAATCATATGAGGTTTTACTTTTAACGGGAGCACTATACCGACATTGACATAATAGAAACAACACTAGGTGTTTAACCTAGTCACAAGTATTTGACCCTGCTTATCCGGGCGGTTTTCCGTAGTAACATACGAATTGAATTATCATTACATTTATTAATGATCATTTGCCTTAGGGGATTTTATCCCAGAAACCTCGGGTTAATCGTGGAATGTGTCCCTACATCGATACATATAATTCTATGGTAACAAATCAAAATTCGAACTAATTTCGATGGTCTCCACTAGTAACTCCCATAATATTTGAATTTCTAAAATAGATTCATAGCTTATAAGCCTCAAAAAAATCTACCTCAAATTAATTTACAATGTTCATAACTGACCCAACCATTTGAATAAGAATCAAATGAAAACCTTCTTTAATTTAATGTAATAAAAAAAGAATTAACAAGATGAGAATCTATCTTTTAGTTGAACAAGTGCCACTCCAATATGTAAAAATATTTCAAAAATATTACACTTTATATTTTCAATAAAATAGCTCATTAATGGCACATATAAATTTATAATGCAAGGATGGTGTAATCTCAACCCGCTCGTCCCCACAAGTTAGGATCCACAATAAGAAGTCATGTTCTAAACAATTTTACGATATGCGATTTGGAGGAAAAGCTCTGTGAAGTAGTAGATTTCAACATACCTCAATATGCTCCCAAAACTTTACCACAAGTATCCAAGGTTTTCAACCAATTACAATCTACATAATTATCCCACACGAGTCAAGAGTTGTTTAACAATACCCAACAAGACCCATTTAGGCCTTTACTCTTGACTATAGGTACTTAGAGTTCATCTTTCCTACCAAATATGTTCCTTCATTCTTAACAATCTTATTTGTAATACTTAACTGCCTATTAGGGTTATAAACAACTAAACAATCTCCATTTAATACCCCAAGTTACTATTCATGTTATATCCAACTAGGGTTTCATAATTACTCACATTCAACTACTTCTTAATTTCATGAATATCATATATACACTCATTTATATCTCATAAATGAGGTTGGAGTAGAAGAATTTACCTTTTGAAGGAAACCCTGGAAAATCTCTTCTTTGGTGTTCTTGATGATTCTTCAAGATTCAAGTGAATTCCTATTGATTGGATCCATGTATGTGTTAGTTCTAATATATAATGATGTTATAACATCATAGATGTATCAAGAAATCATACCTTGAAGTGTATTGGATGTGGAGGGTTGACCCTTTCTCTCTTTAAAATATCAAAGCTTCAAAACCTTGCTCAAATTCTCTCCCCACCTCCTTCTCACTACAATAAATGTGATATTTAGCTACAAAACTTTTAGCCACGACACAAAATTCGTCACTAATTATTCACTTTTCGTGACGAAAATTATGTTTCGTGTTTAGATACATAATCCACATAGTTTTAGTGACGAAACATAAAATTTCGTAGCAAAAGTTTTGTCCACTAAAGTTTCCCATCAAAAAATAACTTGGCGCCATTATTTAATAGCATTAGCCACGAATTTTATATAATTGGTGACATATTATTTTGTCACTAATGATGTATCCAATTTGTGACAAATCATAATTTGTCTTAAAATTGGTAAAACTTTGGACACAAAAAAATTTCGTCACAAAAAATGTGTTATTACAATAGTGACAAAATAAAATTTGTAGTTAAACATGGTAAACTTTAGCTATAAAAGTTTCTAATTTATTATGACATTAGTTTTTGTCACTAATAGTGCAAACAATTAGTGACAATTATTTAATTGTCTCTGTTTAACGTACAGTTTAGTCACAAGAAAATTTTTGTCACGAAAAATATGATTTTTAAATGGCTACGACTTGAATTTTGTAGTTGAATAGTACAATTATTGGCGACAAAAAAAGATTCATAGTAAAAAAAACTAAAAGATATAGTTTTGTTCATATATGATACAAAAAGTTACTTTAGGACTAATTAACCTTATGACTGAAGCACCCATCTTAAAAAATTATCAAGTTCGAGAAACTTGAATCCCATTTATAAAGTTCTATTATGAAGTCTATATGACCTACAAATGAAAGAAATAAAATTAAAACCATACTCATTTTGATTCAATTGCCATATCTAACTTTAGAAAATATAAAACCAAAAAACCATATTAAAATTTAGTAGAACCCAAGGAACACTTGCTGCTACAAAATTTCATATTGTTTAGATAGGAACAATCTATATATGGACTTATATCTATAACATAATCCGAGCATATGGAGTCCAACATAATACCTCAACTGTCAAATAACTAGTTAATTGGGCCACGCTTCGCGCAGTCAAATATCTTTATTTTATATTTATTTGATTCAAAAGAATTTAGATTTTTATAATGGCAAAAATAAAAAATATATTATACAATGCCAGATGTAACATAAGAAAACATATGAAAAATCAAACAGAAAATCATATCAAAATAAATAAATAAAGCATTCACTACTTCTTTAGATTTCATAATTACAGAGTTTTCGAAGAACACTTCTTTTTAATTTGAGAGGTGAAGTTAAATGCTCATTTTATAGAAAAAAACTTATCATGGAATGTTATGTTTGTTAATATAGATCTAATTATTTTTTTATTGGAAATTGGAATAAGATGTTAAGTCGATTGTAGACTTACAGTGGAAGTCTTCCATAAAATAAAAAGGTAGAGTGTAGTTGCTAATCTGGTCATTTTTTAAGTAATTGTGTTTCCTTTTAAGTCTAAGAGACCAAAAAAATTAAGGGAAGAGCAATATGGCAACCATCTGTTCATAACGCTTAAAGCATTAAGCGGGTAATTTATTTACTCTTTCACTATTCGGAGTTCATGTGATAGACACTAATAAAGTTAACATTTAAGAGAAAACAAAAGGAGAATCTGCTTTAGAAATTTAAAGTAGAATAAACAGAGGACAGAGAGACCTACACAGGCGGATATTACCTCAAGACATCTATAACAACAACAACAACAACAATAACAACGACCCAGTGAAATCTCACTAGTGGGGTCTGGGGAGGGTAGTGTGTACGCATACCTTAACCCTACCTCGAAGGAATAGAGAGGTCTGAGGTTCCTAGTAATTATTAGTAAAAAGAATTACCAGAAAACAGGAATATCCAATTGGTTGTTCTAAAGGATCAATTTATAAACATCTCGTTGAAAACTACAATCCTTTTTTGGCAAAAAACAAAGGTAGAGGTCATATCGACTGCAGTAGCTGTGCTCATTAGGATCATGACTGGCTTGAAGACTTTCAAGCAGCTGGAATCATCTAGTTATTTACGTTGTTGTACCATCATGCACCCAAAGATGAACAGGTGGTGTTATATACCATGAGAAGGTTGTAGTGGTCCCTGAACAATGTGCAGCAGAAAGCTCAGCAGAAAATCGATCTGTTCGTCTGGACAAAATTCCATCACTGACCAGGTTCAACTAAAGCAGGGGTAATTTGTCTTTGAAATCTTAAGAGCCTGATAAGATGGTGCTCTTGAGTAGATATGTGGTTGGAAGGGGTATATAGACATGTCAACCGTTGATGCCGATACTTCTTCAAAGATTAGTGAGGTTGGAATTGCATGTGGGAATATTAATTCTTGACTTGTTTTACACTAGAGCTGAAGCAGTGTACTATCAGAGTCAAGTTTATGATGAATACTGCACATATTAGAACAGCAAAGAATTAGTAAGTTGAAGTGAAATACTAATAGTGAATGATTACAGGCCATTACATCAAAGGGTGGTTGTCTTGTTGAAGCTCCAGTTTCAAGGAGCAAAAAGCCAGCTGAAGATGGCCAACTAGTAATTCTAGCAGCTGGGGACAAGGTAATATATATACTATTATTTAGCTGTTTAATGGAACAACACTCTTATTATCTTTGGTTTGCTGCACAACATGGAGCTTGTGAAAAGCAACAAGCCTTGGATTCTTATTAGACTTGGAGGCCTTGAATATGTGTTCCTTGAAGTAATTGAGTTCTGCTATGCTCTCCTTAATGTCATCCATAGCTCTATGCTTGCTTTCCTTTTTAGGAGCCTTTTTGCTATTGGAAACCAACGAACACACAATGCCTTGACACTGCTGACATCAACTAGTACATGTGAAAAAAGACTAGCCAGATTTGGCATGTATTTCTTCAAAAATTGAAAATTCACGTAGACTGAATTTCCTGCTAGTAATGGTGTATATGTGCCAATGTTTCTCTTGACAAATTCAATAACCTGTTTCTCAGCTTCTTCTTCAGTGACCATACTCTTAAGCAATTTGTCAAGACATCTATAAATGGCCTAATTATTTAAAACCTCTCATTCGCCCTATCGCCAACATAATATATTAAAAAAAGATGCATACCCAGCATTTGTGTAATTCCTTGCACACGCTGCTTATAAAAGTGCACCTTGCCAGTATTTTTTGGCTTCCCTAAGCATCTAAACTTGGTTTGACAACTAGGACAGAGAAAAGAGAGCACAACCCTATAAAATCAATAATTCATTGATAACCATAAACACCATCTATAAAGCAGATGTGCAGCAGAACAAATTCTTAAAATGGACTGACCTTGGCGTTCTCCAAGTGTCTTATAGCTTCTTCCTGAGAAGAAGAATTCATAAACAATTGTATGCAACAAAGCCCAGCTGCCACATGATCCTTCCTTGTCACCTCATCATCATCATGCAATCTAAAAATACACAGGACGGAGACATGACATTAGTATATACAGAAAATGGAAGCAAATCGACTAGGCAGCCTATCAGAGAATATGATCAAATTCTGGAGTGAAGCCTGTGGAAAAACAGAAAGATTGAGCTTCTTGAAGTTTACCAAAGCACCTAAACTAAGAAACCAGGTAATAAAGTTAACATTTAAGAGAAAACAAAAGGAGAATCAGCTTTAGAAATTTAATAAAGTTAAATAAACAGAGGACAGAGAGACCTACACAGGCGGATATTACCTCAAGACTTCTATAAATGGCCTAATTATTTAAAACCTCTCATTCGCCTTATCGCCAACATAATATATTAAAAAAAGATGCATACCCAGCAGGTTACTGACCTTACTATTATGAGGTTACATCATAAAAACCAATGTCGTCGTCATCATCATCTGTGATATCAACTTCATCGTCATTAGTACTATTATTACCTTCATTCCCCTCATTCTCCTCATGATCACTGATGTACTCTACCATTGTGTCATCCTCTTCGTCAGAATTTTCTTCGTCATAACCAACTTCATGTTCTGTTTGAGCCTCCAATTCAATTACAGATGCATCTAGGGTAACCGAATCAACATCATCTCTATGTAGTTGACTCAACATATTATCCGTATCATTGACAATTGAATTACTTTCAAGTGAAACATCTTGATATACTTCATCATTTGTTTCGCCATTTCCTGTCTCTGAATTTTGCATCTCTGGCACATCATATAAGTGTCTATCTTGAAATTTTAGGACAATTCGCCAATTTTCTCCCAATTTCGGATCATCAATATAAAATACTTGCCTTGCTTGAGTAGCTAGTACAAAAGAATCATGTTCATACCAAAATCTATTAACATTGATGCTCGTAAGATTTTTATCTTTTTGCATCCCTGTCTTCTTGCGAAGATCAAACCACTTGCATTTAAATAGCAGAACTGGATTGCCATTAAGATACTCTAACTCAATCATGTCAGTTATAATACCATAAAAATTAATCACCTCATTTTCGTAATAGCCTTCAACAACTAGACCGCAATTTTGACTTTTACGTAGTTCATCGCGTCTTTGAATATGGTACCTAACACCATTTACAGTACACCCATTATATGTT